CCGGCCCTTCAAGGACCTAGGCCAAGTCCTCCCTCCCCTCTCAGACCCTTTCAGCCTCCAGCCTTGCCAGTCAAAGTGCACAGCAGCCTTGGCACTACCTGAAAGCTTGTTAGAGATGCAGAATCCTCCTGAATGGATCTGTATTTTAATAAGATCCCCAGGTAACTTGTATGTACGTTCCAGTCTGAGAGACACTGAGCTAAACTTACATGATCGGTTTCTTTTTTGGACTGCTCTCCCCTGGTCCTCGCCAATCCGAAAACTGGCTTCACCAGCTGTGCCCAGAGAATGGCCCTCCTATTTTTGTCCTTTTGGGTTTGGGATTGGAGTTCACCTCACACCTTCGGCCCGTCCTGCCTCTGGCCCCTCTCTGCCCTCCCCATCTCGAGAACACTCTTCTACCCTGAGTTTCCAATGGCAGCACATATAACTGCAGCACTGTGAAATTTAAAATAAATTTTTAAATTACCTTTTTAAATTGCTTATTTTTTATTTTTTTTTTAAAGATTTTATTTATTTATTTGACAGAGAGATAGCAAGAGCAGGAATAGAGGCAGGGGGAGTGGGAGAAGCAGGCTTCCCACCAAGCCGGGAGCCCGATGTGGGGCTCGATCCCAGGACCCTGGGATCATGACCTGAGCCACAGGCATGGGGGTGTGCCCTAAATTGCTTTTTTAAATCAAAGTATCACATCAAAGTTTCAACAGTCAATAAAAACTAAAAAAATCGAGCCCCGCATCGGGCTCCCTGCTCAGCGGGAAGCCTGCTTCTCCCTCTCGCACTCCCCCTGCTTGTGTTCCCTCTCTCGCTGTATCTCTCACTGTCAAATAAATAAAATCTTTAAAAAAAAATACAAAACCAAAATTACGTAACAGTAATAGCCTGTGCACCTCCATTCCTACTTCCTTTCTGAAAGTCAACCATTCTTCTAGGGTTTTCTTCAGGTATACACTTCCATATACAACCATTTCTTGATTCAGTTATTTTTAAATTTTATCTCATGGCATCCTCTTTTGGGTACATGAGGAGTTAGCTCTTTAAAAAATCTGTCTCTTTGTCCATCCACTCCCCCTTGTAGTTCCTTCGTCTGGTTTCCATTTTCACATATTGCAGTTCAGGGTGACAAAGGTGCATCAGAGATGTATTTAGTTGATTGCTTCCTTCTCCTTGTTTTAGAGTAATGATTTTTAGAAGTTTTATTTATTTATTTGAGAGAGAGAAAGAGAGCACAAGCAGGGGGAGTGTCAGGCAGAGGGAGAGGGAGAAGCAGACTTCCCGCAGAGCAAGGAGCCCGATGCGGGACTCAATCCCAGGACCCTGGGATCATGACCTGAGCCGAATGCAGGTGCTTAACCGGCTGAGCCACCCAGGTGCCCCTAAAGTAACTACTTATTTAAACAAAGGCACAGAGATGGATTCTCTCCCAGTTCGGGAGACTAGAAGTTCAAAAGCAAGGTGTCAGCTGGGTCGTGTTCTCCCTGAAGGATAGGAAAGAATCTTTCCTTGCCTCTTCCTGGCTTCTGGTAGTTGCTGGCAATCCTTATCCTTCCTCGCTTACAGCTGCCCCACTCCATTCTCTGCTTCGATGTCACATGTCCTGTGGACTTCTTCCCTCTGTATGAGCTTGTGTGTTTCCAAATCTTCCTTTCCCTACAAGGTCACCAGTCACATTGGATTTAGGACCTGCCCTAATCTGGTGTGACTTCATCCTAACTTGATCAGTGGACTATTCGACCCAGTACAAATGGTTTATAACATGTTTTGCTGAGCAAAGAATAGTTCTCTCCCTAAAAAGAACTCCCCTTTTAGCTCTTAAAGTAATATATATTTTCTTCTCACCGCTGGAATTGTTTAATTTCTTAGGCCTATTAGTTTTGTTTTTCCAATTATTCTGAAGTGACATTATGCCCGGGACTCCTGCCAAGCCTAGCTCAGGGCTTATGCTCATAGTTAGGTGCTCAGTAAATATAGAAAATAAACTTTGCTCTCATGTTTGCTCAATGCCCTGGTGGATCTGTTCTCTGGTGGGAGAGTGATCTGATGCACTCACTGTCTTTAAAACTGATGATTATTACCCTCCCAGAGTTTCGGTATTATAATAGTTCCCATGGGCTATCTTTTGTGGGTCCTCAGTGATCACCAAATAAAATTAAACCTCAGCCCAACATGTAAAGCTCTTCACAGTTGGGGGTGGAGAGACTTTTCTAGTCTTTTCTGCCATTTAGCCTTTGCTGTCTTTGCCCATTCTCCAAACCAACCAGTTATTTCTCAGTTCAGTGCTTTTGTTGATCCAGGCTCCCTGCCTGAGTTGTCTCCTTTCCTCTATCCCCCAGCCTTCCCCATCCCCCAGTGAACTTCTATTCATCCTTCAAGACCCAGTTCAAGAGCCACTTCCTCTGTGAAGCCTTTTTCAATGGCCATAAGCAGAATTAATTTCTTCTGCCTCGATGTTCCCCACCATCGTGAACACAGTTCCATTTTAACACTTGCCCCATCGTGAGGGAATTCGTAGTGTCTGTGCCCACTGCCTACGAGACTGTGAGGTTCCGCCATGTCGACTAGGCACAGTGCCTGGCTTCGAGTAGACTCGATTATATCTGCCCAAGGAGGCCATAATGGTGTCATTGATGGCAAACAGGCATAGAGCCTTTTAGGGTTTCTCAACCCATACCTGGGAAACTCCCACATAATTTCTTAGCATGGTCACTGAGAATTAGAGGAGGGAATGAGGGATTGTGTCAGTAATTCAAACTCTATTATGTGTCAGTAATTCAAACTCTGTTATTTAAGAGTCAATCCAAGGTGACAATCTTTTATGGTTTTTAAACCCCAGACAATATAGGGTAGCCCTTTCCCTGTGGGAGGCTGGGGAGGGTACAGAGTCCTGGAAAAGAGGAGTGACTCCTTCTGTCTTTCCTCTCAGTGTCTTAGTTGGGCTTGTTCAAATCTTGGGGACTTATTGCAATGAAGCTCAAGATCTAGGCAACTATAAAAAATAGAGAGCTCGAGGGGCTGACCCTTCCCTCTTCATCTCCCTCACACGGGGCCGTCTGTCACTCCTCCTTCTTGGTGAGGCAGATACCCCCAGAACCTTGCCTCTGGCTCTCCAACCTTTCAGTGTGCTTCTGTTCCTTCCACTGCCAGTATATGCATCTCTGTACCCAGGGAGCTTTTTTCTGGGGCCATGGAAGGCAGCCTTTTCTTTCTTTTTTTTCTTTCTTTCTTTCTTTTCTTTTTTCCTTCTCTCTTTCTTTCTCTCTCTTTCTTTTAAGATTTATTTATTTATTTGAGAGAGAGAGCATTCACATGAGTGGGGGGAGAAGCAGAGGGAGAGAATCTCAAGCAGACTCCCCGCTGAGTGTGGAGCCCAATGGCAGGGATCAATCTCAGGACCTGTGAAATCACGACCTGAGCCAAAACCAAGAGTTGGATGCTTAACCGACTGAGCCACCCAGGTGCCTGGAAGGCAGCTCTTCCTACAAGCAGCAGGTCAGAGGGCCAGGGAATCAAACTCTATGGGCACAGCCCTCCACCAGTGATTTCCAGGAGTTGCTGTATGGATGCTCCAACCCCCTTATCTCTTGGCTGGGGCTAACCTAGGTGTTCATATTCAGATTCCCCCCTGGAATAAGAGCTTGTCGCCTACTTCAGTGGCAGGCTTGATAATGCACCATTTTTTGCTGCCCATATCCCTTTCCTTGCCCATATCCCTTCCTACTCCTCCTCTGCAGTTTCCTGGGACCACTGCCCCAATATTTTGAGTGTAAATTTGCACTCAGATCCTTGTCTCAGAGGCTGCTCCTCAGAAAACCCAAACCAAGAAGAAACATGGCAACTTCAGTCTCTTGAACTTCTGCTCTTTTCTTACCATTTGGGTTCTCCTTGCCTCTAATCTCTGTAACCTTTTAAAAGACTCACAGCTCTGCTCTCGTGGCTTTTGTTTGTTCATTTTAATAATTATTTCTTCTTTCTCATAATCCACACTGTCACTCCTCATGGCCCTTCCTATCACAGTGCTACATCTCAAGTCCTTTCACCTACTATTCCCACTGCTAACTGGCTCACTCTTTTCTAATTTCTCAGTTCAAATCCCTTGGATGGAATTGATGGGCTGGCTCATCTTTTTTGTATAGGGCCTTGGCCAATGCACAGATTGGCTGTGGCGGGGTCAGCTGATCATAGCCAGTCCAATCAGCTGTGCGGAGGCAGGGAGATGGGACAGGAAGTGCCAGAAGGTTTAATGGCCGACACTGAGGAGAAAGTTGTGGAAGGTTTAGCCCCTCCCATAGTTTTTTATATGGACAATTGATCTTTTCTCCATTAATTTTGCATGTAACTTCAACTTCCCAATCAGATTGTCCTGCTAAATCACTCCAATGGTGAAATTCTAAAGCCACCATGGGTTGGTATAAATTAAGACATGGCCACCTAGGACCTGGACCTTCAGCCAAGTTGTGGGCAGGAACTTCCTGTGTATGATGAAGCCAGTGTATTTGACAGAGTTAGTACCCCAAACCTTCTGTGAAGAAAAAAAAAAATTCTTTATAGTGTAAAGGCTTGGAAAATACAGCAGAGCACAAAAAGAAAGAAAGAAAAAAGGAAAAAAAAAAAGCCACAGGGAGTCCCAATGCACTGAGATAATCACTCCTTGCATTTTAGGACCTTTTCTTTTGTGTGTGTGTGTGTGTGTGTGTGTGTGTGTGTGTGTGTGTGCGCGCGCGCATTTAGAGGGAAATATTTCTTCCCCATAATAAGAGGATTGTCCTACATATGCTGCTTTTTATAACCTGCTTTTTTCACCTTATCACTGAACATTTTTCTGTGTCATTAAATATGCTTCTATAGCCTCATTTTAGTGTCAGCCCGGCTTTCAGACATGGGGCTTCCGGCCCTGCTGAGCTGCCTTCTCAACCCTCCCCTCCCCAGGACACTCAGCTGTGAAAGGCACCGATGTACACAGAGAAATCTAATGAGCTCATCTTCTTCCCGCTACATTTCAGCGAATCCTATGCCCACGGCTGCTGTGTGGGGCCTGGGCAGTGGGAGCTTCCCCGCCGGCCCCAGACCCTCCAGGGAAATCACCAGTCAACTCTCTGCAACTTCCTCGTTCCCCACATGCTCTCTGCAAAGCCAGCTCAGGACATGGTAAAGTCAAATCATCAAAAACTTGGAGCTGGAAGCTCCCATGGGAGACTGTTCCAGCGCCTCCGAGTTAGAAATGAGGAACCAGGCCCAGAGAGGGGAAGTGACATGCCCACACTTGGCCAGGGAGTGGGTGGCAAGGTGAGGACACAAGCCCCGTGTCCCCGTGGCCAAGCCTGGTCTCTCCTTACCCCCATCCCAGTGCGTGGCAGGGGTTGGGGTTCTCCTGTCCCACCCCTCCGTCCTGCAGGGCCAGGTCTCCATGGCATTCCCCAGCCCCAGTCGAGCTTGGCAGCTGAAAAGCCCAGCCCAAGGCTTGACCTCGGGGAATGTGGCTGTGCCGCCCCCCCCCCCCCCCCCACCCTCACCCCAGCCTCCTTCAGGATCCAGTCCTGGTTTCACATCCCTGGGTGTGGTGTGGTTAGAGCATCTGCCGCCTTTCTGGCTCTGCAGGCACTTTGCCTTGGGGCTGAGTAAACATTCCCCCCCCACCCCCACCAAGCCTTCCTGTCTCTAGGGCCTAAGCTGGTGAAGCGTCTGGGCTCTGGAGAAGCACGGACACAGCAGCTTTGCAGACCATCACTAAGCCCCAAGGACCTTCTTCAGGCCTCCCGGCTCTCTGAGTCATGGGGCAGACTGCAGGGGTTGGCGCTGCCCCGCTGCCCCGGGAGCCAGGGACGGGGACACCCGGGCTTCCCAGCTGCACTGACCCTCAGAGATGCCCTCAGAGCCTGACTCCCCCACCTCCGTCCCCCTCAGCCCCTTAGGAGTCTGGTTACCAGGGGAACCTGGAGGAGGTGATTAGAGGAGAAGGGTGTGCTCTCGGGGAGCGGTTCTTGCAGCTGAAAGCCAGTTCACCAAGTGTGAAATGGGAGGATGATCCCAGCACCCCATCTGCCATTCTTAGGCGGCTTGGGCTCTGTGCCTGATTGCAGGAGCCTGGGGGCCTTGAATTTAAGCAGCACGAACCAGGCCTTTTGTCCCCCCTTTACGGAGCTTGAGCCCCAGCCTCAGGGATCCCCCAGGGCCCAGGCCTAAGGCAGAGCCGCTGCTGACTGCCCTTCTCATTCAGACAGCCAGCGACGAGTTTCCTTCCCACCCCCAGCCCTGCTTTAGGGACACAGACTGCTTTTACCCCGTTGTCTAGCTGGTGTCTTTCTTCCAGGGGAGCCATCTGGTGGGATATGAGTTTTCTGTGAGTTCGGACCCCTTAGCTATTTTTCTGCTTAAAGCACACATTGCCTTATTTCACCTTCAACCCCCTTGCTTCCCTGCACGTCTTCCTGCGGGGTAAGCAGGACCAAAACATTCCTGGTGGCCACTTCATTTGCTAAGCACTAACCCAGTTTTCTGATCTTCTAACAGACAAGAGATGGGAGACAATGCCTGACCCTGGGGACATGACAGATGGGCCAACTCTCCAGTTGAAAGCCCAGGAATAGATCCTTCCTGATTTCCTTGATGATTGGATGTAAAGCTCGATGCCCACCAATCCTTCACTCAGGCGTCCCTCCGTCTGGAGCACTTTGCTGAGTCTCATACCCCACATCCGGGCTCAGAACCTGGAATTCTTACTCTACCATCTTTGTGAATTTATAAAGGCCACTGCAATTCCCACTCTGCCAAAGACAGTGTCCATTTTCACCCCAGCAAGCAGACCAGCGTAGATTTCTTCCATCATTACGGCGGGGAAAGGAGAGGGGTGCCTCAGAAGGAAGGGGGATGCCTCCTGACAGGCCGGGGGCACCTGATCTGGCACAGAGGCGAGCGGTTCTGACCTTGGCAGCCAAGTAGAAGCAGGGAAAGTTGGAGGAACGGGTGGAGAGCAAGAGATGCGGTGGGGGCTGCTGAATGAGGAAAGAATAGAGGGGGTACACTGGACAACCAAACCCCAAATTCACCAGTCCTGTTGCACGCAGTGGGAAATGGCCGGGGGGTGGGGGAGGAGCAGACTCTGCTGAGGGCCCTGCCCAGCTCTGTCTATGCAGGAAGGTAAGGGGCCAGTGGGGCCAACTTCCCAGGCAGGACCAGCTAGGTCAGGCCAGTGCACAATGGAACTGCGGGGCCCCTTGTTCAGAATTTGTTAAGAACTTCAAGATGGAGACTGCAGAGCATTAAACCAGGTGTGGGCCCCTGGCAAGTGCATAGGCTGCATGCTGTAGAGCCCACCCAGATGCCCAGGCTGGGATGGGTGTTGTGATGGGTCACTGGACTGATTGAGAGGCCGTGTATCAGATTAAAACAAACTGGGGGAAGGACACGATAGACTTAGGCCCCGGGATGGATGTTACCTCGGTAACAGCTCATTACTGAGCACCTCCTATGCATCGGGCTTTCTTCTAACCAAGTGTATGTTCTCCATTTCCATCCTAGGACAACTGTAGGGGGCAGGGACATCACCATCATCATCTCCCAGAGGAGAATGCCAAGGCACTGAAAGGTAAAGTGAAGTAATGTAACTTTTGTGACCCTTAGTTAACGGACAGGCTAAGTAATTTGCTCAAAGGCATAAAGCTTCTAAATTGGAGGCAGGTTTGAGTGCAGGCCCAGGGGCCCCGTACCCCAAACCATTTGACTGTAAACAGAGCGTGTCTCAGCAAAGGGAAACTTCTTTACAAGGAGCTATCTTACTGTGGCAAAGAATGTTCTAACAGAGGTATTCAGAGACGCATGGCCTGGAGACATTTGGAAACAGGCAGGAGAGCCCCTCATAGAGGGGAACCCAGCACTGCTGTGGGGTTGAGTTAAATAACAATCCGCATCACAAGAGTTACAGCTCTCTCCGTCGTTGTGGTGGGTCTCGGCTAAGTGTGGTACCAGGGTCAATAGATCCCAGGATGCCAGGAGCTGGTGCCTGTTCCACAGAGAAGGACGAGGAGAGAAGAACAAGATCGTGGAGCTTGGAGCTGGCACTCCTCAGAGTCAAGGAGATGGAACTTGAACCCAGGTCCAGCTGCTTCCAGAGGCCTCGCTTCCAACTGTCATACCAGACGGACTGACTCTTAAGGTCCCTCCCGCCCCCAAGATGCTATAATTCCGAATCTCCACAGGGATATGATACCGTATCTGCCCAGGCAATTTCATTCGAGCTCATGCTGATATTTTTACAGACAGCTTGGAGATGGCTGGGGGGCCCCAGAATCTGTTCCTTGTGTTGAATCAGTCCTCTGGAATGTTGGCCCAGACTCCAGCCAGGCCGTTCTGACTCCTTCTCCCTCGAATTTGACAATCTGGGTTTTATGTAAGTGCTGGTGAGGGCCCATGCTTCTGATTTCATCTGTATTTAAACAGACAGCTTGGTGAGTTCTGGCCTGATGGCCAGAAAAGCTCACGGACTCTCACGTTCTCTGAGCCAGGAAGTCTGTGGCAGCCCCTGCACTCGGAGTGCACCCCAAGATTCCACCCTTGAAGCTGAGGGCTAAAGCCCCAGGTTGACGGGGCTCTGGTTTAGTATTTAACAAGAGCCTTCTCCAGGTTTCTCTCTCCACTTCCAAACCGGCCCCAAAGGACACGATCATCTGGCCCCCAAGCCGCACGTACCAGCAGATCCTTAAGGATCTGATCCCTAAACACACATGCCAGGATACAGCTCACCCGTTCCCATCCAGATACGCAGTTCTTCAAGAGACTCACCATCTTACCTGCGTTAGCTTCCTGTAGCTGCCGTCACCAAGTACCACCAACCGGGTGGCTTAAAACAAGAGAAATGTATTTTCTCTCAGGTCTGGAGGCCAGAAGCCCAACGTCGAGGAGCCCACAGGGCCATGCTCTCTCTAAAGGCTCTGGAGGAGAGTCTGTCCCATGCCCTCCTCCCAGCTCCTGCTGCCAGAAATCCATAGTATTCCTTGGCTCGGAGACCCATCTCTTCAGTCTCTGCCTCATGGTCACAAGGGGTTCACCCTGTTCGTCTCTGTTTCTTGTCTTCTTCTATGGACGCCATCATACTGAGTGATGGTCTACTCTAATTGAACACGACCTCATCTGAACTTAATTACAGACAAGACCCTGTTATCAAATAAGATCACATTTGCAAGTACTGGGAGTTAACACTTCAACTTATGTTTCTGGGAAACACAGTTCAACCCACAATATCCCCCATATCGCCACCAGTATGCTGCTAAGGACACAAAATATACCATTTCCGGTGTGTTGGCTCTGTTCGTCCTGTGAACCTCGCCTCGACCCGATGAAGTAGGTTCGACCATCTCCATTGTACAGATGAGAACACAGATGGCCAGAGAGGTTAAGCCGCTTGCCCAAAGTCCCACACAGCTACCGAGAGCAGAGCTGAGACCCACACCCCGGACCCGAGGCAGCACTGTTGTCGGGATGCGGTGAGCCGGAAGGAGGAACTCTGAGCCCACCTGTTGAGACCAGGGCACTCTGAAACAACTCAGCAATTCTCCAAAGGGACACGCAGGTTCCGTGCTGGACAGCCTGGCTGCAGACTCCTTTCCTTCATGTGAGATCATTTCTCTGAAACCCAGTTTCCTCATCCATCAGACAAGGTCCTGGAGGCTGCCCTGCTTCTCTCAAGGAATGGCTGGGAGGGTCCACACCCGGACTTGCGCTGGCCCCTCGGAAGCCCCGTGTACAAGTGCTGTAACCACCCATCCACCCGGCCTATGCTTCCTTTAGCTCTTTGCCCAAATGCCACTGCATCACAGAAAGCCTCCCCGATCCCAGTATCTAAACTAGTGCCATGCACCCTGCCGTCCCCTTTATCTCGTTCCCTGGATTTCTGACTACTTGCCACATTTATTAGCTTATGGTCTAGCCTACCTACTTTAGAATGCAAACTTGGAGGGAGCAAGGGCTTCGTCTATTCTGTTCCCTGCTGCAGCCCCAGTGCCAACGACAGTGCTGACACATTGCAGGCGCTCATTAATACTCATCAACTGAATAAATGAGTAGCTTAATGTAAAGTGACAGTTCCTCCTCATGGTTGGAGTGGGAACAGTTTTTCCACTGGAACCAAGCTCCATGAAAGCAGGAGATCATGGCCCTTTGATTCATTGCCACATTCCCATTTTTTGCCGGGCACAAAACAAGGTACTTGATCAATATCTGTTAAATGAATGGGGTGAGGAGAAGGCTGCTGGGCAGACGGAGACCCCCGCTGTCCCCTGCTCTGGGAAATGAACGGGCAAGGAAGGCTGCAGTTGCACCTGAGCTGAAGCTGCAAGGATTTTGGACGGTGGGAGAAGGAAGGGGTGCTTTCTAGCTCAGAGAGACAGAGATGGGCTCCGTGTGCAGGTGGGGTGACAATGAGCGGGGCTCATTTGCAAAACGAGGGGAGCTGCCTTCTTTGAACAAGGTTGGCATCCAGAGACAAAGGGGCAGATTGGCTGCATCTGATAATGAATTACTTAAATGCCGATGCAATGAAACAGAGAGTTTCTTCCCAGCCATCTGCACCAGGGACTTCACTAATACACCACTAATAAACAAACGATATAAAGTGTGGAATGATAAGAGCTATTGGGTTCAGCTTGCTTTCCCCTACCCCCTCCAGTATCACCCACGATCTCAGGCTCCACAAAGGCCAGGGCACGTCTTGAAATAATTTCTCAGGCAATTAAACCACATCCAATTTTATAAGGCTGAATATGTCAGAGGATCTTGTTACCTCCATCTTTGGGCCCGGAGGCCAACATATCCTCATCAATCCTAACGGGCTTGTAAGAGGAGCCGACATCTGGGTGATAGAACAGACATGCTGTCTCCCTGCTCCTGTCTCTGATTTCTGGTTGCCAAGCAGCTTGGGTCTGACTCTCTGGGGGTGCTGGGATTTCAGGGGCAAGGGGAAGCACCCTCTCCTCCAGCACCACCAGGATGCCAGGGATTCCTTTAATGCAGGTCAACACCTTTCATTTAATTGCAGAAGGACAGGCCTAGAATTCATACTGCCCCAAGAGAAGCAATAGACTGGTTTGAATTAATACCAAAGTACAAATGACTGGCACAGACCTTTGGTCCCTCGAGGGCAGATTTTTAAAAAGCCTGGAAGGAGAGGTGGTGTGGGGAAATGAATGGACTTTATCCAAGCCCAGTTCTTCCTCTTATTACCTGTGGGACTTTGAACAAGTTAATTAACCTCTCATCTGTAAAAACACGAGAGGTCTGCTTTGGCTGCACTCAGCTCCCCACTGGTGCCAATCCCCACCCCCAACCCCGTGCCATTTCTCAGGGACCTTTCAGTCTGGAAAGTTCCTCTCCCCTTTTTCCACCTGACTCCTTCTCATCTTTCTGCTGCCCTGGACGTCTGCCCGGGGTTGGTTGGCCAACTGTGTGTTCCCATAGTAAACTCAACAATTCACACCCTTCTCCCTGCCACGTACACACACGAGACAGGGAGAACCTGGAGGGCGGGAGCCCTTTCTTGCTCTCCTCCAGGTCACCATTAGGGACTCAGCAATTGTTTCTTCAATCATTGAGAATTACTTCTGGGAACAAAATGTTTCCAAAACATGGAAAGAAAGGAAGAAAATGATGGCGTGCCCTTTCAATGTCGTGCCAAACTTACCCCCAACTTCTTTCTTAAGAGCTAAGCATTATGCCAGTGCTTTATATCTTTCATCTCACTTAATCCTCAACACCTTATAAAGCAGATCTTTATTTTATCAGTGAAGAAGCTCAGGCTCAGACAATTCAGAAGCTTGGCAAAGCCGGGGACACACACTGTGTGCCAAGAACTTTACCTGCCCTTTTGTTCAATCCTCATGATGACCCTATGACAAGGGTATCATAATACCCCCTTTGTCTGTTAGAACACTAGGGTTTAGTTATCTGCCCAAGCTATCACCATGTGTAAATGGCTAAGTCAGGATTAGAAATCCAACACTTAGCTACCACTCCACACCTTTTTTCAGTGACCCAGTGACTTAGCTTATGGGAAAGTCCATGATGCCTAGCACATTACACAAAATGTTAGTTTTGCTTCTGTTGGGAAGTTTGGTGGTGAGGAGGTGTGGTTGAAATTGGTAGATTGCCCCATGAAATTATAACCATTTTCCCCTTCTTCTGTAGTATAGATTCCACCATTTTTAGCTGGGCCCTGACCATTCCAAATAAAGATAATGTTTCCCAGTCTGCTTGGCAGGAGCATGTGGCCATGTGATTAAGTGAAATTGTCACGTGGCTTTTTTAGGAACCTTCCTTAAAAGGTGGTTGATGAGCACCTTTTTCTCTATGCTTTCCTCCATCTACCCATCAGTAACATGGGTGTGATGTCTGGAGCTCTAGTTGTGGTCTTGTGCTATGGGGATGACCCTTGCCCTTGAGAAATTTAAGGGATAAACTGAAAAAAGCATGGATCCCTGGGGGCTTGGCCAAGTACCACACCAGCTCTGGACTTCTGGCTTCCCAGCTTTTACGTGAGAGAGAAGCAATCAGTTGTCTGATGTAAGCCACTGTTGTTTTGGATCTCTGTTGCTTTCAGCCAAATAATCCGAACTGATAAAGCACGAAGAATGAAGACGGAGTTTCAGAGGCAAAGTTAGCCTTCTTCACAGAAGTACCCAGGGATGGCCTTGATTCTAAGAACCAACCAGAAAGGCCCTGGAGAACCCAGCAGTTGGAACTGTCAGGGAGACAGATGTTGAATGGGTTCTGCCAGCCACGACTCGCCCTGACTTGCGTCATTGCACCTTCTGCCAGGTCGGCCCTGCCCACTGAGTTTATGGGTTTATGGCATTAATAGGAGCTGCCTGCAAACACATCAAGGCTCCACACAGGCATCCCCAATCTCCCCTCTTCGAAGTGCAAAGAAATGGTGCGTCCCCAAAACCGTAATGAGGAAATCTATCAAGCACTGAGTTCTCTTCTCAGTGAGCATGAGGAAGAAATACCTTCTGTTCTGCTCCTTCGGGCTTTGCCCATTGGCAGTGCAAGAATAAAACACATCGATCTCTTCAACAGAGACTGATAAGGCAAGGTGCAGAGCCTCTGTTGTTGCTAGAAATTTAAAATTCCTCTTTGCCTCCTCTAGGCCTCTGGAGAAAGAGAAGGAGAAGGATACGCTTCCCCGGCAGATGTACAGCAGGCTTCGGAGGTCTGGGAGATGACATCAGTTGGTGGTGTGTGTGTGTGCGTGCACACCCATGTGCTTTGAGACTCCCTGAATGAAGACACCAACAGAGGCGTCATTCCCTGCCAGGACTGTGTCAGCCTCAGCTGCCAGGTGCCCTCTCCTGGTGTCTGGCTGCCTTGGGTAATGTACTGCTATGTGATCTTGGATATGATATTGTGTGCCTCAGTTTCCCACCAGTAAAATAGAAACTATGACAGTCCCTGTCTCCAAAGGCTATTATAAAGACTAAATGATGTATTCCAGGTAAAGCTTTTAGATGCCCAGCACATGGTAAGTACTCAACAGGTGTTGCTTGTTATTATTGTTAGGGGAGTAATCATAATACAGGTTGGGGCACCTGGGTGGCTCAGTGGTTAAGTGTCTGCCTTCGGCTCAGGTCATGATCCCAAGGTCCTGGGATCGAGCCCCGCATCGGGCTCCCTGCTGGGCGGGAAGCCTGCTTCTCCCTCTCCCACTCCCCCTGCTTGTGTTCCCTCTCTCACTGTCTCTCTCTCTGTCAAATAAATAAATAAATAAAATCTTTAAAAATAATAATAATACAGGTTAACACTTAGAGCTCTCCCTGCATGCTAGGCATTGTGCTAAGTCTGCCACATATATAAACTCTTTATCTTTACAGCTCTGAGGGCTACTACTGTTACCTCCCCATTTTATTGACAAGGAGACTGAGACACATTTGGGGCCCCAACCCAGTCTTCTGCCCCAGGCCCATGAAAAAGGAGAAACGAGGGGATCCTGACTCCTTACTGACTGCTGCTCTCATCTTACCCCAGCATTCTCGGTACCTTCCCACCTCAGGTTTTTAAAAGGCTGCTGCCTTGGCCTGCCTTGTCTCCCCAGATCCATCTCAGTGCTCCTGGGCACCTTCTCAGCCCTTGTCAGACCCCTATTTCTCTATCACACAGCCCCCTGCTTCTATTTGTGCTCTGGTCCCTTTGGTGAGGATTTATTCCATGCTGTGCTTGTTTTCTCTCTTTCTGCAGATTAGACTGCAAGCTCCATGCAGGCAGGGTCTCTCCCGCCGCCCCCCGGCCCCATGGATGCCCGGCACACAGTAGGCACTCGATAAATATTGGAAGTGTCCTCAGCTCTCAGTGGAACTAAGAGAAGGGATTCTCCTTCAGATGTAGCACGCCTCCAGTGAACAAACCTGGCATGGGTGGGCCCTTGCTGCCTGCCTGGCCCAGTTCAAAGCACCTGACACGCATCATCTCATTTAACCTCACAACCACCCAATGGGTTGCATCTTCATCTGCGAGGGCCGCCATAACAAAAAGTCATAGACTGGGGGACTAAAACAACAGAAATGCGTTTTCTCACAGTTCTGGAGGCTGGAAGTCCAAGATCAAGGTGTTGGCAGGGTTGATTTCCTCAGAGACCTCTCTCCTTGGCTTGTAGATGACCTCCCTGTCATTGTGTCTTCACATGGCCTTCCCTCTGTGTATGTCCTAATTTCCTCCTCTTATAAGGATACCTATCTTATTGGAAGAGAATCTACCCCAACGACCTTGTTTTACCTTAATTACCTCTTTGAAGACCCTGTCTCCAAATACAGTCACATTTTGAAGTACTGAGGGTTAGGATTTAAAGATTGAATTTGGGGGAGGGGAGCACAATTCGGCCCATAACGGGGTAGGTGCTGTTTAATAACATTTTTAATGTTATTAATGGGGTAATAAAAATCCCATTTTTCCGTTGAGGAAACTGAGGCACAGGGAGACTGGATAACTCACCCAGGCCCACAGGAAGCAGAGGGCAGAGTCTGAGCCATAATGGCCTGACCGCAAGCTGAACACAGAAGTGCCTACCCCACCACAGCCTGCAGGCGTGGTGTCAGGCCATCAGCCTCTCTCTTCCTTCCCCAAGGGAATCAGGGGCGGAAACAGACTGCCCGAGGCCACTTGGCTGACAGGTGGCGGAGTGAGAACTCTCACCCAAGTATTCTGGCTCGGGGGCCCAACTTCTTTCCACGGCCCCACCTCTGCCTCCCTAAACCAGCTCCTTCCATAGCAAAAGGGGCTAGTGATTGGTCCCAAGAAGTCAAGGGCGAGTCTTGGAATACAACAGTTTTTACATTGGCGGTACTGGGAGGTTAATGAAAACGTGGTTCCCTCCAGCGCCTCTGACACGAGCCTCTTCTGTATGGCTCTTGTGAAGGAAGCAGAGTTCACGTCCCTCCAAGAGTCCCTCTCCCTGCTACCTGCCGCCCCCCTCCCTTGCAACAGCAAGAGCTGCCCTAATAATATTAGCACTTTCTGAATGATGACTGTGTGCTAAGCACTTTTATGCATTCATTTCTTTAATCTTTTCAATGACTCTACAAGTCAGGGGATGGCATTATTATCATCCCTAGTTTATACAGAACAAAATCAAGGCATGGCAGTTGCCCAGAGTCCCCGAGGCAGTCCTTGGTGGAGGCTGGATGGAAACCCAGGCAGCTGGCTCCCCGCCTAAGCTTAGGTCCCCTCTTGCTCCCTGGGAAGAGGGCGGCTGATGGGCGGTTACTGGCCGACTAACTCCCCAACTACTGCTTCACTTGTTCATCTGTCATCCATCCACTGAGAACTTCCGGCACCTCCTCTGTTTGTCCTGGCCCAGGCCAGCACCTGGTTCCTCCTTCTAGGGCCTCCAGTCGTGGGGTGCAGGGGATCCCTTAAAGAGACAGTATGGACCCTGCATACCAAGAGTGTGTCCCAGATGCTCTGGGGCAAAGAGGGGAATTCACGGGCTGGAGAAGGCAAGGGAGGCTGGAGAGGAGCAGTGAAGGATATGCTGGGTCTTGAAGGAGCAGGAGGAGTTTGCTGGGCAAAGAAAGGGATTTCACCACTGGTGTGTGGAGCTGGGGGTAGGATGGGTAGGAGGAGAGTCCAGAGGAGGAGCTGGGGGTTGCCAAGCTAAGAAGGGGGGGGTTCATCTAAGAGGCCATGGCATTTTAAGGCCCCAATGAGACTTGAAGCAACTTGATCTTCCAGCTCTGTAGTAGCCGCTCATCCTACTTCGAATAAAATCCCAAGCCCCCCCCACCGTGGCCTGGAAAGCTGTCCATGACGTGGCCTCCTCTCCCACCCCTCTGTTCTCCCCGTGTGCCCCCAGCTCTAACTGCCGTCCTGCTCTTCCCTGAACAGGCCAAGCATGTGACCTGGACATTGGACTTGCCGCGCCCTCTGCCTGGAACTCTCCTCCCCTCTAGCATTAGTTCCGTGTAATCGGCTAATTACATTCCGCCGAGCTGTAGCATGGATCTCAATAAACTCTTGTTAAATGAATGAATGAGCTCTCCTTTATTATATTCCAATTCATGGAAAGTAAGTATACAGACAGCCCTCAGCTGTCCAATTGTGCTGAATAATTAACCAGGACACACTGCTCCCCTTCGGGCTGCCCAGATCACCCCATTAACTCTGGTTTGTCAGCATCATGTCCGGAGCGAGCGGGGCTGGGCTGCAGTCAGAGGGAGGCCGCTTAGCAACAGCCCGCGGCTGCATCTAACAACCCGGCTGCCACATGTCCCAGCAGCAGAAAAGGAGCCGTGAAATTGCCTGAATTGAGAAGCTGACGGGAAAGTAAAAGGGGACCTGTCAAAACCCAACCTAAACCCAGAGACAAAAGGCAATTCCTTCTAGCAACTTCCGCATGTTGCTGACGCTGGCAAGCGGGAGGAGGGAAGTCTCTCTCACTTCCAGTCCTACCTACACCTCCCTTTCCCTCTGGTGGGAGGGGTACTGGAGAGCCTTGGGACTGCTGAATGACCGTGGCCTTGGGACCAAATGAAATCACTGGCCGTGTTATTAGGGAGAGATGGTGCTGACACAATTTGGATGGTCAACATAGCAATAAGGTCTTTGACGAAAAAGACACATGCACAAAAATCCCGTTTCCTTCCCGCGAAGTACAGTGGCACAATAAGTCGTTTCCATAGGTACAAATTCATCCATTTCCGAACAACGCGAGCAAACTACTGTGGGCTCCCAAATCTTGCACCCTACCTCGGTGCTCAAGTTTCTTTCTCCCATTATTATTGTTCTTTCCTGTTGAATGACAATATTAGCTGATTATAAGTAAATCAAGGCCCTTTCCAGCAGTTGCGGCTGAAAATTCATTTTCAAGATTGAGCCTGATTGCAGAGTCTTAACAAGCAGTGTGGAACAGCTAAGCCATTTACATCCAGAATCCTGGTGAAGAAATTGGGGCTTAATGAACCCTGAAACAGCTACCCTCTTCTTCCCGACAAGGAGAAGAGAAAACATGGCTCTAAATTTTAAGCGTGAGCCAACAACTGGTTGTGAAATTGTTATTTAGAGTTGGCGGGTGGCACTCTGGAAAGCAGATGGCTTCACACCTCAGGAGAGAGATTTTTTTCCCTTAGAAAAAACTCAGGCTGCCCCTGAGAGATGCTGGAGATGAAATCTGAACGCCAAGTTTCCAATGATTCTGTGCATGCGGATGGTGGGTTTTACACACCAGAATGTCCAATTTGCAGGGAGCCCTTTGGGGGCTGGATGATGGTCTGGCGGCCTTTTCGGGTTCTCCTGGCAATGGAATCAGGAGGTTTACTCCTTGAAGATTGCAAGGCAAAGCGATTTCCCAGCACTTGCAAATTGGCAAACTGTGAAGTTGTCGAAAAGGCAGATGGGGATTGGAGAGCCCAGAGAGGTGGCGGCTTGAAAGCCCCGCTCAGGGCTGTGCGCCCGGCAGTTCTGCATTCGGGCACTAGATGGCGCCAGCAGCCTTCCGGGCTGAATTGCCTCCTTCAGCGCGGCGGGATCGGAGGAGCAGGCTTTCTCAAAGCGGGGTCCATCAAGAAGCCACTGAGAATCCAAGCCCCCAGCGGCTTGCCTTCGCTTCGGGAGGACGCAGAGTGGGTGTGTACGGTGATCAGTGATGTGTCCTGGACGGCAGGTTAAGAACCACTGCGTTGCACTGCCATGCATTGCTTTCCAGTTGCTAAGACCTTGCCAGGAAGGACAGGTTTCCTCCCTGAGACTTACTTCGTACGTCTCCTCAGCAGCACCGCCTACCCTCCCCCAGCTACCAGAGATCTTCCCTGAAAGAAGGTCTCTCCTCTGCTTTGGTAGCAACTCCTTGGTCTCCTCTAATACGTATTTTCTCCTTCTCCCTTGCTTGGGGCTCTGGGCAGCCAGGGGTCACACAGCACTTGGGAGTCACCGCCCACAGGACAGGGAGAGGTTCTGCAAGGCTCTGTGGAAGGCTCAACAGGGGCAGCTTGCCCACCTCCCAGTTCTGTGCTTCCTATCTGTGTTATGAATGCTGTGTCTGGTTTCAGACATTATTCCCCAAACTCAGGGGGTGTCTCCATGCACAACGGGGCATAGAGAATTATTTGTACGGCCCCTCAAGTTCAGGGCTACAGTAGTTATGTCATGTTATCATTCTTGGTCAGTACCAGGACTTTCTGTTTGTCTGTTTACTCTTTTTTATCCTCATTCTCCATGGGCAACTGTGGTGTTTCACAGATACCGTTGAATTCACATTATCCGTGGAAAACATGTATTCTTGAATATGTATGTGTATGTTTATGCATTTGAGGAGGAATATGCTTAAAACAGACACACACATATGCACGCATGAACGCATGCTCACACACCCCTAACCCAACATCAACATTGCGAATTAGAAGTCCAAAGCTTGAGGAAGATAAACAAAGAGTTCAAGGTTTCACATGAGGTTGGGTGAGAACGTGGTCTCCATACCAGGCATCTTGACTCACGGGCCAGTCCTTCCACCAGAGGATATATTTTTAATTCACATAAATGATTTATTAGCATCTAAGAGGAAAATCAGAAACCATTCTAGGTCTTTCACACAGAGGGAATTTAATACAGGGAATTGATTTGACCAGTGATGAGAGAAAGAGAAGATAAACATGGGGATGAGGGGACCCAGGGATTATCCACCACAGGAAACCACTGCTGCCAGGTTTGGGCTGGCAGGACAAAAGCATGAATGATGTTAGCGGTCTGCAGCTTGGGCTTTTGGCTGGGCTCCGAGTGGGGACTGCCTGGAGGATGTGAAACAATGGAGGAGGGATCATCTGGAGGAGCTGGAACCACAGAAAAGGCACAGGGGCTGTGGGAGATACCACAGGAAACAGAGGGGAACACCCTGGCTCTCCCTTCCTCCACCCTCCACCCCTCC